TTGTTGTTGTTGTTGTTGAGTCAGTGGGTGCATGCTTTGTACGCTTACCATGGTCACATTGTTTAAAATCTTGTTTTCTGCGTATCCCACCCTTTTTCAGCACAGGCAGTACCGAAACCATCGTTCAGACTCTAAGGGCATATCCACTCTTCATCAGCCACACACCCCTCAACCATGTTGTATTAAGAGTGTTGTTTGCTGGATTTCTTTACAAAGACACGCCGCACCGAAGCCAATGTCGTGTGCAAAGTGAACATCAATTGTCCAGATCGTACATCGCTGCTGCTTGCCATGCATTGCTCCCTCCACATGTTGGAGGAGCACACCCCAACCTCCAGCCTTCCAAAGCTCGGTGGCTTGTTTGTGTTTGTGGAGCATCCTGTTGACCCAATTTGTGGAAGTGATAAAAGCCTTCTCCGGTCCAGCCGCTGGAGAACAGACAATTGCAAGAATCAGAGGCTTTCAAGCCTTAGTCATGCAAGAGCAGCAAATGGAGCAGGAAGCTAGTAAAGACGTCTCAACATGAAACTCAGGTTGGGCGCCCAATCTGAATACAATGCTTTGTGGCAGATTTATAGCAGGCCGGAACTCTTTTGGGTGCTGTACTTGCTTGATTTGTTGAGACTTTGAAGGTGCTTCTGTTGGGCTCTTGAGTGTGCTGCCCTTGGTAGCTCACAAAAAACACGAAAGGTCGTGCATTCTAGGTGCGAGAGAAGAGGCTGGCCAAACGCTGCACCACACCAAGGCCAACGTACCGCTTTACCAAGGTGAAATCGCTCCTCCGGACCCGTCTGTCGTTGTTGGTAGACTTAGATAGACTAGTGACCTACTAAAGCACAGAAGATAGACCTAGTGAAGGACTGTAGTGGGCACGCATGCGGGCAGGAAAACAGAGGCGCCATTGTTGCCCTTTACCAGCAACTGGCCCAGCTTGATGTTCATAATTTTTCTGGTTGCTTCAGCCAATCGGTAGGAAGACAGCCCAAGGCTTGCTATTACAATGGGTATCATGCTCGCGTTTTGGATGAACTACTGGCTACAGCCACTTCAGCATGGCTGGCTGGAACCTGATTCGCCACAAGAACGCCAACATTTGTGACATGAAGTCGCACCCCGAAAGCGCGGCTTTCCAAGGCGGTACAGTATCTTGTTGCAGCTCATTCCTGGAGGCGGTTTTTTGGCACCTCATGATGCTTGTCACGGAATGATTGAGCAGCTTGGCAGGAATTTTTGCAGCTGGTGCGAGCTTCATGTGTAGATCTCAGCCGGGGCGGCATGTTTTTGGATGGCTTTGTTCGGCTGCGATGGCACGGCACAGGCCCCAATCTCCCAGATGGCTTGTGTCAAGGACTGTGCTTCCTGTGTGGCAGAACACGGCACAGCGGTTTTGCTATGGTCGCTTTGCGGGTGAGGAGAAGGTACAAAGCTGCCTTGGACATACTGCGACGGATTCGGGGCAAACATGAAGATGTGAGGCGTGGCCTGGTTATTGTGTCACTGTCAGCGCAGATTCCACTGCGTTTGCAACTGCAGAGTCTCCACAAGTAGTTGTTTTGCGTAGCACCTTTGTGAATTGCCCCTCTGTCTTCTACGTGGTCTTTTGCTTCTTTCGTGCCCCCTTGAGTCCCCAGAAAGACATTTCTCCAGGATGGAGCTCGTCGCTACCTACAAAGAATATAGAAGGGAAAGGAGACTTGGATTCTCAAGCTGCTTCCTTCCTTGTCATAGTCATGCATAAGTTCCATTGCTTTGACACATGAAATTGTTGTGAGTCTGCCAGCATTGAAAGGCCTGATTGCGAAGTGCGTGTCTTATATACAAGCTGTACCAAGCGACCCCTGCCAGGGCCACTGGGAAAGCCAATTATGTCGAATTATTCACGGGATCCAATGGCAAGGTGGCGTGATGTGCAGGATCCTTTTTTATCAGAGTCCGCGGTCCGCGTTGCGGGTCCTGGTTGACAGGTCCTCTTAATTGGTATCGTTCTGCAGCTCCTCCAGCAGCTGTGTGGCGACTTGTTTTTGCAGTTGGTCAATGAGTCAATGCTTTTTTTTGTTGCTATTGGCCAGTCCGGTTTTACTGTCATATTTGGGCAACTCCAGTCATTCGTGTTGTCCTTGCTGACTTGCCAATTATTGCTCTCGCGCACGGGATGGCTTCGGTGGGTCAAAACAAGCGCATCCGCCCAAAACCATCCCGCCACTTCTCAATTCAATGTTCAACATGCTTGGATACCTACGCCAATCAGGACCTTGACAATCGAGGGCGATTATATAGAGGTCACTGAAGCCGTAGTAACGTAGTACCAGCTAGCTGGGTGTAGAAAAAAAGCAGGTGCAAAAATGCTTTGGTATTCCAGAACCATAAGTGAGGTTGGGAGGAGAGAAGGCTCACGAAATAGTGAAGGCACTGTCCGGCTGTATGTACAGTACAGTCAGTACAGCAGCATCTAGTGACGAAGCAGCATCAAGCAACCAACAAAGATATATAGATGAAATGTGCGGTCACAACGAGACCTGATGTTCAACCAACCAGGGCAATCAACCACCAACTGAGCAAGAGATTATAGCCGACCAACCCCGCAAAGCCGAACGGTCAAGCCAAGACAGAACCAGACCAGTAGCAACCAACTAAGAGAAAGAGCATGCAACAAAGCTCAACCCGCCAACTAACCCGCCAACCTATTTGCCAACCAACCAGGTGAGACTAAGACCAAAAAGATGCATCTTGTGAACAGCACAGCGCCAGCGTGACTGACACCAAGGTGTTGACCCCAACCACAAGATAGAATATTGAATATTGCCAGAATCGTTCACGATTGATGGGGGGCATAGCTCCGTCATTCACGTTTTGTTGGAAATTTGATCGAGAAGCAGAACACACAGGCAACACAAGAGTTGTGACAAGTTGTGACTTTGCAATTTGCGAGAGTTCTCATGTGGGCATGCGAGCAGGAAGAACACATTTCCAAACGCATACGAATATGTGATCACACAAATACACATGCACCCACACCAGCTGCCGGTGTGCCAAAGAAGTGGCTGAATATTGCAAAGCGCTCCTAAGCGCAGAAGCGTTCACTTCCTTAGAGTCCGTTGCTGAGGTCTCAACGTTTTCATGTACTACGGGCCAACCGTTTTCAAGAAGATTTTTCATGCTCCACGCAACTTGAACTGAGCAGTTTGTCCATTGGCGTATTTCTGCTGAAGCTATGGTGTCATACCAACTTGAGGTGCGTCATTTCTTTTTGCAGCTTTGTAGCGAGCTCAGCTGGTTGTTGCGTTGCCATGTCATACTACTCGCCTCGTTTAGAGGGCGACTGAGTCAAGGTCTGGATTGGTAAATTTCTTGAGCACCTTTCCGGTGCTGCTGGCACAATTAACCTTCATCGGTGTACATTGTAAATATTACTAGGTCAGCTTGGATGCCATTTTTTTCACTTGGGCAAGAACACTGTATTGCACATGCATGTGCCCCTCATTTTGTGTTGCAAGTGGGCGGCAAAGAAGGTTATTTTATTAAGTATTGTTCCATCCTGACTGTCAAGCAAAGGAAAGAAAGAGGAAAACATCAAAACGAGAGGGAAATGTTGCTGAAGCCAGTTGTCTCTTTAAGACTTGTTGGAAGAAGGCATGAAGGTGCAAAGGGACAGTCAGGCTTTGGTAACCCGCGCGCCCCACTTCCATACAGGATTTGTGCCAGGCACTTTGCTTGGTTGACCGGCTTGGGCGTACAACCCTCCTTTGTGCTTCCGCACTTGGAATGGCTATATGTTGTGCGGATCTCAGGCATATATTGTATGTCAAGGGAACGCGGGGTCACTGACTGTCAGAGTTATTTTGCTTTGAGGCAGCATTCTGGCGGCTGCAGCACTCTGAGTTTCCACGCATGCAATTCCTTGGGCTTTCGAATCGCCTTCAGACAGGTGGGAGATGCATGTTTTTCGTCATCACAAGACGTGACGCACTCAGATGTCTTCCAATTGATTCGGCCAAATGGTTTGAGCGGTGGGCTCGTGCAGGATAGCTGTGGGCCAGTCTCCAAGTATGCCATGGCAGGCAGGGCCAAGCCTCTCAACTGACCAGTCAGAAGTCCAAGCGATATCCAGGAGCAATTTTCTTGGACATTTTCAACTATGCATACGGTGAGACACTTGGGAACGGCATGCTGAAAGTGCAGCAGTGTTTCCCTGGTGCATCAACACTTGCCGAACTGAGGCTGGGGTCCGGTTGTTTGGATCTACTGTGCGGAAATCTTTTCCTTAAAGTGCCCAAGCTGAAAGCTTTGGCGTTGTGGGTCAGACAGCGAAAGCACCAGGTACAAGACTAAGTCCAATGGATTGACGACCGATGCCAACTGGGCCAAAAACTCAATGAGGATCAAGAGTCTTACAAAAATCAGAAAAGCTTCCCGCTCCCAAGCCCTTTGCATGAGGCCTCGGAGAATTCAGTGTTTTATAGTTTTTCCTGAGGTTGGGAACTTTCTGATTGGCTTTGCCCCTCCTTGGCTGATGGAAAAGATCGGCTTCAAGACGCTAGGGTCCTTCAGGGACTCAAGACAACAAGCGACGTTTGGCAGACCACAACAGCTGAAAGCGATTTGTTAACTTCGCTCCTTTCAAGGTTTTGGATCTTTGCAGCTGTTAATCTTTTGGGAGTTGCTCTCAGACATGGACTCAGCCTCTTTTTGCAGAAGCGCATGACGCCCAAACGCCAGCGGCAAACGAAGGTTGTGTGCTGCCAGAGACGAAGGGCAAGTCTTTGGAGGCGATGGATCCGGATTTCTCTAGAATGCAGTGCCCAGCTTCCTGGCGTGCAGGAAATTCAGGAATTATTTCATTCCTGGCTCCATAAAGGGGAGGACACCACACGATAGGGGAAAACCATTGCTCGAGTGATGGCAGCTACGCAGGAGCTTCCTGGAGACCTATTCCTGTGTGCAGACGAATCAGACGAAGTGCTTTCGCCTCGTTATACTTTTTCAGCTGGCATGGTGCACAAGTCATAAGAAGTGTGCCCCTTCATTGCAGGGTGACGTCTCTGAAAGTGATTCATCTTCGGACTTATAGCTTGGGTAATGGAGGTAGGCTGCAAGACCTAGCCCCGTTCTGCATGTTTGCGGGACAGCTGGTGCGCCTCCTGTGGATGGAGGAATGTTTAGCTCCACTATTGGGTCCTTTTCATGGTGGCTTTGGTTGATTCGGACATCAACCTGGCCTTTCCACATTTTGCCAATGCCATTCTTCTACATACATATTGTCTCTTTAGATGATTTGCAAGTGGTGCTCACCTTGAGGAGAAAAGGAGTCCCGCATGAAGGGTAAAAGATGGGACACTCTTTCGTTGTGATTCTCCATGGGTCCATGAAGCGATTGAACAAAAAACATATTCATCGTACAGTGCCAGATATCACCCACAGCGATCGGCTATGTCAGCTATGTTTAGGCACTGAGCTGAAAGGTCACCAAGTGGATGGAGCAACCCAACAGCAAAAGATACAAACAGATTGCTGTAGGATCACGGCAGTCTGTGTGAAACCCTTGGAGTCATAGGGCTTCCGTTGAAGTTTCGTTTTTACTTATCGCAGGGGACCAGGCAGGGTACATTGTCGCCTGGTCAACGAAGCTGGCAATGTACCCGAGAATATGAAAGTGGGACGCCACTTTCACGTACCTGCTGAGTTGTGGTGTTTACAAGCTGTCACTCTCATCTTCCATAAAGGGCTAACGCATTCGGCAGATGTGTGCACGGACGTCGTCACCTCGTCGTTTCGGGATCGTCGACTTTGCATGTTGAGATTTGGGCCTCACCTTTCTTCTTTTTGTTTGACCTCCAAGATCCTCAGACTTCTTACATGAATCTTTCAGGATTTGGGTGCCCAGGTTACCGTGTGGCGGGTGGCATTCAGTTCAGTACGCATTATCTCAAGTGTGTGGTGCCGACTTGCTTCAAGAAAAGAAGTTGAACATCCATTTCCCACCCCAAGAACACCACAAGCATGTCTTCACAAAATCCACGTGGTGACAATGGGGACACCCTGCAATGTGTTTCAAGCACCAAAACCACCAACCAAAGCAACTCACCAGTCCGTTGGCCAAGAGTCAACTCAGATATTCAACCAGCCACCAGACAGGCAAGAGATGAGCGAACCAACCACGGAAGAGAAGAACAACCAGCCACCAGAGAACCACTCACCCAAGACAGCCAGTCAAGTGAGAAGCCAACTAAGAAAGCCAGCCCGCTACATTGCTTGGCCCAAAAACTCTCCTTTGCCTTCAACCCACTTTTTGAGATTGCTTGAGAGATATTGTTTGCAGGGGGGCCAAGAACCTGTTCATGAAACGCAAAAACATGAATATGCAAGGGTCAAGTTCGTTCTGTCTCTGAGTGCAGAGCAAAATTGACATGCACCAACGTAAGGGAGCACGGGGACATATTTGTTGTGTAAATGTTGATTTGACATGCACGAAAACAGAAATCATCAAGCATCATCAAGCAGTATGTCTAACACATCCTAGCCTAGCTTGGAAACACTTGGAAGGCAATTGTTCGAGCCCAAACTTTGGGTGACTTGCAGCTTGGGCTCATTTTTTCCGCAGCTTGAGGCTGAAAGTCTGCCGTTGCCGAAGCTTGTGTGCAGTTTGGGGGTCCAACTCCCATGGGGGTTGCGGATGCCATGGCTGAAGAGTTCACCTACTTTTGTCGCTGCGACGTTTGCCGCTGCAGCCTTTTTCGCGGTGACAACTGGTATCACAAGCCCGGAACCAACTACGACCTATGTGCCCGAGACTTTGCTAAGCTCTCGGCTGAGGAGCGGCAGGCGTGCACTGTGGGCTTCGGTTTCTTTGGTGCACGGTTGATTGCATCACCCTGTAGAGCATATCTTCGGAAGCGCGTTCCAACCCTACCAAATCCATGCACAATCTTGACCGTAGGTAGATTCCCAGACTTCACCAACTCCTGCCATCATGCAATTACAGGTTGAGGTCATATTGTGACACTTACTTGCCAACCTGACTTCGAGCTCTGAAACATGGAGGAAGGAGATGTGCATGCTAGTGCAGCTTTTGCCCAATGAAAATCCACTTCAGGTGCATGTTTGCACAAGAAACTTTTGGGAAGAGTCCTTCGGCCCGCTCATGCTATCCTTGCACACATTGCAGCTGGGACCTGCGCCAGGTGTACGTGAACATTGCCACCAGCAGTGACCTTGGTAGCCAGCAGAATGAATACATCTTGGAAATCAATCAGTACTTGGCTCGTTGCGACCAATGCCGCAAAGCAGTTTCTTTGGGAGATGACTGGTACCACAAGCAAGCAGAAGGCCAGCTTGTGCCATGTGCCATCCCAGTACTATAGTCAAGGTCTTTGGGGGGGGGGGTAGGGTTGCGTCATGTTACATGTTGGGTCCTCAAGGCCATTTGGGTGGATCAATGTGGATCACATGGTTTCGAACAGGAGTCATTATTTATCTGTCTTGGCTGGCCCAGTTCTGGTTCTGTCAGGAAACTACGACCTTTGCGCCCACCATTGGAAGGACCTTCCAGATGCAACCAGGAACCAGTACGTGAATGTTTACGCCAGCAAGGCTTCGTTAGAAACGCAAGAACAACTCAGCAAGCCACCTGCAAACCCTGCCACCTGCAAGCCGCTGTATGCCCAGTCCTGGAGGTCTTGGGTGAGAGGAAGCTTCAGTATGTGCTGCAAGAAGAAATTGACATCGCTGAAAGAGACTTGCCTTCTGACAAGGTGATACTCGTGTACAGTAGTCTTGTGTCTTGTGAGACTATGCCAGCAGAAGACTTTGGTTGCGCCAAAGAACAGGGTTGGGGTACCAATGACGATGGCAAGCAAGATCACAATCATTGTGAGTCTCCAACTGTCACCAAGTTAGGATGCGCGGTGTGCTCAAGAAGAAACGAAGAAACAGACCCTCACCATCACATAGGGACTCACAGCCGCATAGATATGAGACCTGAAACCACTGTATTTGATATGTGCGAAAATGCTTCCTCACACACCCTTTGGCCAGTTCATTTGCCCCATTCAGCCCCAGTCATTCACAAGCAAAGCTATTTGATAGCAAATTGCGTGTTTGTCATCCTCATACTGTGCAGAACACGTATGCGCGGTATTCAAAAAACAACGCTGTTCCAAATTGATTACTTATACAACTTATATATACATCGTGAAGAATGATTTCTTTTTTGGCACATTGGCGAAGCGAAACCATTGGAATTGCTTGGTGGCCTTTCTGTTTGAGCATCATGCGTGCGTGCGAGATGTTTGTTATCCCAAGGAGATTTGGTGATGGTCGTGCTAGATGTTGAGGGCACTCTCATGCCAGAAGCACTGCCTGCGTGTGGTTGACTTGTTGGATTCATGTGAGCCTCGTGAGCTTTGTCAAACAGATGAAGTTAGACGGATATGTCACATGCAGCATTCCTCGGCCAGGCTTGGCTAGAGCTTCAGAAGAAAACCGGCATTGAAGGCTTGAAGCGAACCACTGCCCATGAGCCGGACTACGACAAGCTCATGAGATACCGAATCAACTTGCTGCGGGAGCACAACATTAAGCTCAGCGATGCTTGACTTCACACAGCGGAGTTTCTGTCCCCACCAAGAAAGGTTCTTGAGTCTTGAGTTTCCACGCTTGTGCCTTCCAGGACATGATAGAGGTGGTGAAAGATTTAAAACCATTGCCCGGTGCCAAAGAGTTCCTGGACTGGCTCAAGCCACTGGTGCCACGCATCCTGCTGCTGACGGAGCTGCTGCAAGATCTTGACATATTGTACAGTAACCCAATGTCTGTGTGTGTGGTCTATCAGCTAACAAAATTGAACATAAACGAGTCACAAAATTTGTTGCCTTAAGAATAGGCCTTCCTGGCAGTACCGGTGCAGCTGACAAGACTGCATCAAGCCCCGAGCAGAAAGATTTTGATGTGTACCGACTACGCATGCTCACGGATGCTCATGGTATGGCCAGTACAGCGATTGACAATGTGACAAGATATCATTTTGGTAGAACTGTCACTCATGCGCCAAAAGGACAAAACCAAACCCGTGCAATCTTCCCTAGCACCAGCATTCATCATCCATACTATTTGTCCTGCTTCCGCTTCAACATGTAGCAAATGCAGTAGTTGATTGTCTCACATCCAGTTGAGAGTCGGTCCAGTTTGGCAGCACCATTGTCAGCCTGGCCCCAAAGCTCACAGAAGCTTCTTGCCAATGCTCTTATCTTGGGCTTCCAGCATTTGTAGAGAAGTGGTTGTGAAGAAAATTGCTGATATGCATGTGGCACTCCAGAGTATGTAATTCGCACACTTTGGCAGACCTTTGATAGACAATTGAATTGGGGGAGTAAATTGGGGTCGATCAGTTGACATTGAGAAAGGGACACACACACTTCAACTGAAGCAGGACACCTTCGAGGAGTATGCCATGCCGATGTTTGAACAACTTGGCTACCCCTCGGTTTTTTGCAATTCTTTGGTGGTTGACAGCGACGGCTTCATTTGCGATCACATTTTGCGTTTGAAAGATCAGAAGCGAGACCCGGCTGCAAGGATGATTGACCAGAAAGCTTTTACTGGCAACCAACCTTCAGCACCCCAAGCAGCAGCCTAAAACAAGATCATGTATTTACGGCTTGCTTGCGGGTGGCGGCTTGCCTCAGGCAAGGCCGTGGAGTCCTTCCAGAGATTGAATTTCAGAGTCATTGCTGTTGGGGATTCTTTCAATGAGCCTTGCATTAGTAAAGTTGTTTTCAGTTTTATGTTTGCACATTTCCTCACTGATATGCATGAACCATAGCAGTTTCCTGTCTGACAGAACCAGCCATTGACTGGCAAGGACGTTTCCATGCTCACTGCTGCGGAGCCTGGCATTTTGATCTACCCCTCCGAACCTTGGCAGTGAATTTCATGTGTAAAAAATGTGGTGGAAAAGCAGCATGTACAACTGTCAGGAGAAGGTGAGGAAAGCACATCCAGAATTTCCTGTGGCAAAGGACCACAATGACCTTCGCGCGAAGAGCATTGGTCGCAAGTCGCCGAAGCAAGCTACCTTGCACCTTTGTTTCAATACAATATGAGGCTCAACAGTCAAACTTCAATTTGTTTGCTCTCAGGATAGGTCGAATTTTGAGTGCCAACAAGCAAATTCTGCCCAAGAAGTTGGCCGATCCACCTCCGCTGAGCGCTACAGCCTCCTCACGAACCATGTTTCTTTGCTGCGCGTGTGTACTTTTTGGTAAGTCCAGCGAAAACATGGGGTTGATGCACTATAGGACTGTGATGCTCGCATTTGCTCGCTGCAGCTGCACATATTTGTAGTTTTGTCTTTTTTTTTGGGGGGGGGGAGTGGATGTCATATGTTGTGAAAGTTGCTCGTGTAAACTTGAAGCTTGCGACTCAGGTGGCTTCTTGTCTGCAATGTTGCCGGGTTCTTGGCTCCAGAGCCCTGGATAGCCGTGCAGCAGAGTGGCCTGGCTTCAGATTATTCATTCTGTTGGATGATGTGGCAGTGAAAGCCCATGGAACCTTGAAGCCTTTTTTCATACCGTGCTTTGCCAGGAACTAACATTCCCGAATTGAAGGTGACCACTGCCCAGGTGTGTGGGGCAATGCAAATTCTGTCGGAAAGCTGTACAACAAAAAGTTTGATTCGTTTACCGTAGTTACTAGTTGCATTTCAGAAGTCCTGATGCAGGAGCCAGATTATGCAAAGCTTATGGCGCTACGTTCCTCTGCTTTGCGGACCAATGGCGTCAAGCTGCAGCAAATCGCACCTTGGGCCGATTTGATTTAGGACGAGACGCGGTCAATCTGCTTTTTGAGACCGACGTCGGCACCGGCTGAAGGTAGACATCATGGATGGTCTGGAACTCCTGCCGGGAGCTACGCAGTTCTTGGCATGGCTGCAGCTCGGAGCAAGCTTCCATGGCTTACGAAGCACAAACTTCGGACTTGTTTTGCAGACAAATTGCCATGATTTGAGTGTTAGCGCCTGCGTTTGTAGTGAATCATGAGTCCTACAAGACATCCTTGGATGGCCTAAAGACATCAGCCCACCAAGGAAGCCGATTGTTCCACGGACATTCATGATTACTGATGGGCCCGAAGCACCTGGATTACAGAGAACACTTGTGCGAATTTTCAGTGCCAGGCCCTAAATGTTGTCAATATCATCGTGCGCCCAGGAATATGCGCTACCAATTTTTGATCAACTGGAGCACCCCATGGTCTTCTGCAATTTCTTTGAAGCTGATGATGAAGGGTTTTTGAAAAGGTGCCTTGCCCAAAAATGGAAGACATGCTCGCTCGCTCTCTCTCTCTCTCTCTCTCTCAAGCCGCTATAATTCCGAAGGCCCTCAGCAGAGTGGGGAAGCGCAGAACGTCCGCCGGGGACGTCAAAATCTCGCACCCAAAGCAAACCGAGACCTAACCCGCCCCAATGCCCACCGCTAATGAGCAAGACAGGCTCATGCAAGCCGTGTGTAGAGTTCACAGTCCGATCTAGGGCAACCTGTCACGACCTGAGGAAGAGGCCCAGGTCGAGTTGTCGAGTTTACAGAACCAAAGCCAAACAGGAGCGTGTGGCATGCATGAGTGCTCAAGTTACAGCAGTCTGAACCTAGATGACAAACGCTCCTGACTTGTGAAGTAGGTACTCAGCACTGTTTTCAGAGCATCACTGTGGCCGTGTTTGGCCAGCCACGCGCGTTACCGTTACATTCTTCACGTGTGTGTGTGTGTGTGTGTAACCCTTGGAATCATAGGGATCCTTTTGGATTTGTTCGGTTTGCCTTTTTGCTTTTTAGCTTTTGTCAAAGCAGGGGGGGCTGGTTGTTCATGCAAGTACCAGCCCAACGAAGAGGCTTGCATTGAACACTGATATCGGTGGGGACGCTCACCGACGTACCTGCACCAATTTTTAAGCTTCCGTCATGCACTCCGCAGTTGTGAGCGACCGTCGTCAACCTGTCGTCCCGATTTCGACTTACGACTTTGGACTCTTCTCCTTTTGAAGACCCCCAGGCTTCAGTGGTTCGTACTTGTACTCTTAGGAAATGGTAACCTAGGCTGGCGTGTGGCACGCTTTCAGTTCAGTACACCCTATCCTAAGTGTGTTTGGCCTCGTGCCAACCCGGGATGAGCCCGCAGAGTGCCTCCCGTGGACCCGTTGAACGGGGGTACGTCGTTATCTCCCCTGCCCGGAGATGTAAATGCCCAGAGCGGGCGAAGGTGGCCTAGGCCGAGTGAACTCAGATTTTGTCTCATTTTAGGAATTCCAAGCTGGCTTATGCCTTTACGTGACCGCAGGGGTCGAAGCAGCCAGCCATTTCGGCAAGGCACAAGGTGACCATAGCGGTCAAAGCCAGTTTCTAGGTTCATTGGAACCTGTTGGATACTTAGGTGCACATACATCGTACACACTTCAACGAGGCATTTGGTTCCCCTTTCACCTTTTCCCCTTCACACACTTCTTTTCCTCTTTCTTTTCATGTCTTCCCTTGCTTCATGTCCGTTCATCTCACTCCTTTCGTTCTTTTGCGCGTACAATGGTCCGGGCCTTAGTGTGTACGCGCACATCTACTTTCAACTGAGGTGTTAGGTCGCCCAGGTCTCGACAATGAGGTGGGCTCATCGGTTGTCCCTGTGCACTCGGTTTCCCTTTCATTGCCACTTTTGTCCTGTCTGTCTTCCTTTTCATGTCTTCATCCTTTTGTCCTTTCTGCGCGCACATTTACACATTCGTCCTAGCCTTAATTTTGCCTCCCCTCGGGGAGGCGTGTGTGTGTAACCCTTGGAATCATAGGGATCCTTTTGGATTTGTTCGGTTTGCCTTTTTGCTTTTTAGCTTTTGTCAAAGCAGGGGGGCTGGTTGTTCATGCAAGTACCAGCCCAACGAAGAGGCTTGCATTGAACACTGATATCGGTGGGGACGCTCACCGACGTACCTGCACCAATTTTTAAGCTTCCGTCATGCACTCCGCAGTTGTGAGCGACCGTCGTCAACCTGTCGTCCCGATTTCGACTTACGACTTTGGACTCTTCTCCTTTTGAAGACCCCCAGGCTTCAGTGGTTCGTACTTGTACTCTTAGGAAATGGTAACCTAGGCTGGCGTGTGGCACCGCTTTCAGTTCAGTACACCCTATCCTAAGTGTGTGTGCGTGTGTGTGTGTGTGTGTGCTTGCTTTGCATGCAATGTTTTCGTTGTGGTTCAGCTCGCATGCACGCGGGCATACATACACGCCTCCTGTGAGGCTCATCACTCGGCTGAAAGGTCAGAAGTTGAAGACTGTTCAGGCGCGTGAGAAGTGTTTCGGCAAGAACTGCGTTGACTGGAGCTTTGGTTGGCAAGCTCCAACCGGCAGTGCAAATCGGACGATACATGACAATACACATTCTGCCCAGCAGGAGCTCCAACGGCTTAATTTCCGAATTCTCGCTGTTGGCAATTCCTTCAATGATATTGACATGCGACTTGGTGACTCAATACCTAGCTTTCAATCACCTTGGGATGGGTGCGTTTGAGCTTCAGAGAAGGATGCAGAGATTGGCAATGAACCATCGTGCGTCCAAGGATTCATGCGGCAGAGAAAGGTGTTCTTTTCAGGCCTTCGGAGGCTGTCAAGAAAGATCACCCAGCACCTTGGATAGAATGCCTGCATGGGCGTATCTGACATATCGCCTGAAGAATACCATTGGAGACAGAGGAAGGGAAAGATATGACAGGTTCGGTTTGTCCCATTGTTTGACCAAGGAGATCCCAGTGGTCACATCTTACGACGAATTGAAAAAGTGCATCGCCCAAGTGGTGGAGACGGTGGAGCCGAACTCCAAGAAGCAGAAGACTGGGTGAAGACTGTGAGAGAGAGAGATGTATAGTTTTCGGATTTTTTTTGGGTTTTGTGACGTAGACAAAACGCACGGCGTGGCTGTGTCCCAAACCGGCACAGGCAACCAGAAAAAGGAATACATGAGGGATAGAGGGACCGGATCAACAAGGATGTTGTAGATTTGACCGTGCATCTTGGGGCAGGAGAGAGGTTTAGCCTGCAACCCTTTTTGTGGCCTCTCTCCGTTTTCGATGGCCGTTGCAGCCTTCTCATCATGCAAATATCCCTTTTCAACCTTCAACCTCAGGACCGCTTCAATCAGAGTAGTTCTGGTCAGTTCTTTTTTTTTGCGTGCCATAGGTACGGGGGTAAGAGAAAGCGTATGAAACTAAGTCAAAAGGATAAATGCCGCACCCGAAGGCGCCCCTCATGCCCATCAGTACAGGAACTGCATAACAAAGGACAAGTGCAAATTAGAGGATCGATTTAGTTTCGATGTCCAGGTCTCAACGTGGTAAAAGCACCTTTAAACATTGTTCCCTGTTCGCTGCATCGAGGATTTGAGCCAACTGCTCTTGAGAACAAAAAAGTCAACTTCGCTGTGTCGGATATGGCTCCAAATCAAAACCAAGGTGTTTTGAGTCCACTGTTTGCGTGGTCTGCCAACACGTCTAAATGAAACATCGATAGGAGAGGCCGAGTCGTTTTTGAAGCTTACCATTCTCATGAAGTGTTCGTTATTTTGGCGAAGGATTCTACCAGCAAGTGCTAGTCTTCAGGGTTTCTTGGATAGAAACGATTTTACGTCCACGGTTATTTCTGGAGATGTGGAGATTAGCTGATTAGCTGTTCTGAAAACTTCCGCGTTGGTATTGGCACGGTTTATATACGTGGGAGCCATGCCCAAAATCTGTCCCAAACCTTTCAACTGAGTTGCTTCCAAGCGGGAAAGCAGACCAGCTGGAATCTCCAGGGTCTCAAGTGCATAGAGAAGTTTGGTGACGGCATTGTATATCAGGATTGTGTTTCTTTAACTGCACTGGGCCTCTTTCCAGAAAATATCTAAACTCTTCCAGGTCGTCATAACAGAGGCAATTCTGCTCGAAATTTCGGACGCAATGTTCACTTGTTTTGTCAGGACTCCGCCAAGGTAGGTGACCTCGTCGGCATGTCTCATTTGTGAGCCATCTCGAAAACGGATCAGGTTGCGCCTGTTCATTGCCAAAACGTTGCATTTTTCGTGGTTGCGCGTTAGTTCATAATCCTCTTCTATGTCGTGGAGGAGCTGGTCGGTCCATAAATCTGGGAATGGCGCACACCATTCGCACGGCATGCCCACAATCACTGACTGCAACCTTTAGCGAACAAAACAAAGTGTGCGCACCATGTTCTGCACCCATCGCACTCTACAAGCGCTTTGAACTATCATCTCACATTTGATGTTTTTTCAGATGGGCCCATCTAAGAGCAAGATTCAGCTACGTGAATTCGCGTTGCTTCAACACAATTGTACCAGCATAGACCCCAAACAGCTTCAAAACGATCGTTGGGACCAATATTATATATATAATTAGTCAAAAACGATTTCTTGGTACGCCCTACCTTCCCCCCAAGAGCAAATTGCTTAATCAATCATTTTTGTCGGCATCGACATCGCCAATCGTTCGGCCACAAGAGAAGACAAGAGAAGAGCAGGACAAGAGGAGGACAAGACCCGGTCACAGAGCCCGGCCACAGAGTTCAGGGTCGCGGCCAGTCAGTGTGTCCAGGGCTGGTCAGTGAGGACAAGAGGAGGACAAGAGAAGGACAAGAGGAGGACAACAGCAAGACAAGAGAAGGACAACAGGAGGACAAGACCCGGCCACAGAGTCCAGGGCCGCGGCCAGTCAGTGTGGCCAGCCCTTTTGTCTAAGATAGAGCCCCAACAGTAAACTGTTTGGGGAACAAGGGGGGGACAAGAACCGGACACAGAGCGCGGCCACAGAGTTCAGGGGCGCGGCCAAGACAAGGAGAAGAGGAGGACAAGACCCGGACACGGAGGCGGGCCACAGAGCCCGGCCACAGAGCCAGGCCACAGAGCCCAGCCACAGAGCCCAGGGGCGCGGCCAGTCAGTGTGGCAAGCTCTTTTTTCTAAGATAGAGCCCCAACAGTAGACTGTTTGGTGAAGTACATTCAAATAGGATAGGATTGACTGAAACTATTTATGCGGCTGCGCTATTCCACCTAACTGATTAGATTAAGAAATTCTAGTGTATATGAAAAAGTCATGCACCACCGTAGGCCCCAAAGAGTTTGTGTTTTTTAGAATCGGAACACTCTGTAACTAGAGCTTACGACGGAAGCGCTTCCTTTTGTAAATCCAGAGCTGGGAGACAAATTTAAAGGATTCCAAGGCAGAGGCGGACACAGCAGCCCAGAGCTGGGAGACAAATGAAAAGGATTGCAAGGCAGAGGCGGACACAGCAGCCCACACCTGGGACACAAATGAAAAGGATTGGACACAGCAGTCCAGGGCTGGGAGACATATGTAAAGGATTGCAAGGAAGAGGCGGACACAGCAACCCAGAGCTGGGAGACAAATGTAAAGGATTGCAAGGCGGAGAGGCGGACACAGCAACCCAAAGAGCTGGGAGACAAATGTAAAGGATTGCAAGACAGAGGCGGAGACAGCAGTCCAGAGCTGGGAGACAAATGAAAAGGATTGCACGGCAGAGACGGACACAGCAGTCCAGAGCAAATGCGAAGGATTGCCAGGCAGAGACGGACACGGCAGTTTAGAGCCGGGAGACAAATGTAAAGGATTGCAATGCACACAGCAGTCCAGAGCGGGAGACAAATGTGAAGGATTGCAAGCAAGAGGCGGGGACAGCAGCCCAGAGCTAGGAGAGAAAAGTATAAGATTGGAAGAGAGAGGCGGACAAGGCAGGGAGACGCATGCGGAGCTGTAGTCCACCATGTAGACGCACATACAAGATTCAAAGGGAAAGCATTAAAATTATGTTTTTCATTGACTTTACAATGGGACGCCGTACAAGGGCTAAAACATGAAATTTATGGATCCAGGTTGTGACATATGTTGCCCCCCTTGTAAACACGAATGGCAGACCCAATGTAATCCGAGACATGTGGGAGACAAGTGTGAAATCATGCGGCCAGAGCACTCAGAGCATCCAGAGCTTACTGGGAGACAAGTGGGAGACAAGTGTGAAATCATGCGGCCAGAGCACTCAGAGCATCCAGAGCTTACTGGGAGTCAAGTGGGAAACAAATGGGAGACAAATGGCAGACAAGTGTGAAATCATGCGGCCAGAGCACTAGAGCATCCAGAGCTTACTGGGAGACAAGTGGGAGACAAGTCTGAAATCATGCGGCCAGGGCACTCAGAGCATCCAGAGCTTACTGGGAGACAAATGGAAGACAAGTATGAAATCATGCGGCCAGAGCACTGAGAGCATCCAGAGCTTACTGGGAGACAAGTGGGAGACAAATATGCGGCCAGCGCACTGAGAGCATCCAGAGCTTACTGGGAGACAAATGGGAGACAAGTATAAAATCATGCGGCCAGAGCACTGAGAGCATCCAGAGCTTACTGGGAGACAAGTGGGAGACAAGTGGGAGACAAGGGTGAAATCATGCGGCCAGGAACACAAGCGCGGAGACAAACTCAAAATCATCCGGCCCGAGCATGCACCCCTTTAAAAGGAGTAAGAACCCCTCACAGGTAAACCTGTTTGGGGAATAAAGGATGAAAAGGTAGAGGTCGGCGCTGCGAGATGCACATGAAATTCATACAAGACGGATAGATTTTTAAATATTGAGATTGTTTGGTATTATTTATTGATATTTTGATTTCTTATTTTTCAAGAAATATCACGAAAGGTAGCCCTTGAGGGGATACCTTGAGTTTGTCTTGCGAAGCAAGTGTTGGCGCGTCCGGGTCTAATAATTGATCAGTCAATTCAACCCCCCCCCTCGAATTTATTTCTCAATACACGCCCCCCCCCCCGCCCCCTTGGAATTGATTTTTCAATACAGACCCCCCCCTCTAAATTCTCTCCTGGAGAACGTCTTCGTGAGCCTCTCATGGTTTCAGGATAGTTGAAACCCTCTTGAACATTCAGAAAGAGTGCATATGAAATTCTAATCACGAAAGGTGTTCTCCGAGGGGATACATACCTAGAGTTTGTTTTGTGAAGCACGTCAATTCTCTCCTGGGGAACGTCTTCGTGAGCCTGTTATGATTTCAGGACAGTTCAAATCCCATGATGCTCCGATTCAATGCTCACCGATGATCTGAGCCATGGGGCAAGTTTGTTTTCTTAAGAATCTTTTTGAACATTTCGTGTGAATATATCTTTACGAACGAAAGGTCGCTCCGAGTGGATAAATCATCATGTCGAACATTGCTTTTTTGTTCCTGCCTCTCGCGTTCTCTTCTCTTCCCGTTGTCCTACCTTGCGTGTCTCCCTCCTCTCAAATTGATTATAAGGATATTGAATATTAATATAATCTTATATTATATATACTAATTTCTAATACGGTAAATTATTATTAAAGAAGTCATTTAAATAGAAGAAATTATTTTATTAATATATTTCTATTTATATATTTTTATATAAAGTTATTTTTTAAACAGAAAACGACGTTATGCGGGTGTGGTTTTTACGCGTTTTTGTGATTTGTGGTTTTCTGTGTTTTTTGGAAAATGTTAGTAGTTTTGAAGAACGTGTCTAGCAAAAATGTCGACTTGTAATCTATCAAATTTCTCATCAATTTGATTCAAACATACTAGTTCTCATTGATTCCCACACAGAAGTCCATCAACCATCATCTATCAGCGAGTCCACGACATCCCATCATACAACATCAGGTCATCACCTCTATGAGGGAGATCTGGTCTCCAAGACCTCCAATCTCAATCAGTCCTCAATCTCCAGCAACTGGGGCCTGGGCCTGGGCTTCTCTAGGGGGGGGGGGGGCGCCCAAAAAAAAAAGTGGTTGTCCAATTCCAGAAGCAATTTTCTAGAGAAGCCCAGGCCCAGGCCCCACTTGCTGGAGATTGAGGACTCGTTGTCAATTCCACGAGCTGGAAGTGGCCCAGGTGCTAGAGATAGTCAAGATTATTGATTTCATTAT